TTTGATAATACTGAAAGGAGGTCTAATAGTTTTGTTAACTAGTATAATAGCATGAGTGTCGCCAACTTGTATCTAATTCACAAGTCCATCAATTAGTCTTGAGAACGTGATCTTGAATATATATCCGCAGTCCAGTTACTACATACATATGTATAATCCTACATTATCGGACAGGGTTTGGCATTTACTCTGCAAGAGAGGATATCCTTGGGTATACACGGTCTGCAGCCTCCTAGATTCAAAACTCAGGAAGAACAGCTGGCTCTGTGCAAGGCTTCGGTTATGAAATATACCGAGGATTTAAATCGTTATCTTTACCTTGTGGAACTTCAGGTACGATTAAGCAAGATATTATCAGCAGAACTTCAATTAGATGATAGCGATACGTCGATTTCGCAAATGACTAGTACGATGTTCCGATAATCGGACTTCCCGGATCTTCTATTCCAAGAATAAGCGTTTAAAGCACTTGCAGCAGACATATCTACAATAATACAGTACTTGCAATAATATATTTGTTATAGATATTAGAAATGCCGTTTTGCAATAATCGACTTCATTTTTAGAAGCATGTATGCTTCCGATTCCGATAATAATTTTGTTTCGATGAAAATGGTACACTTCGAAGTGCCTTTAGAAAACAATAATATTCTTGTCAAATGTATTTTGTTTATATTTTTAATTATTGTCGAATAATTATTGAAGCAGACATATCTACAATAATACAGTACTTGCAATAATATATTTGTTATAAATATTACAAATGCCTTTTTGCAATAATCGACTTCATTTTTAGAAGCATGTAAGCTTCTGATTCCGATAATAATTTTGTTTCGATGAAAATGGTACACTTCGAAGTGCCTTCAGAATACAATAATATTCTTGTCAAATGTATTTTGTTCATATTTTTAATTATTGTCGAATAATTACTGAACGAGTCCTGTTCGGATCAGACAAATTCTACGATAGTCTAGCAAGTAATTAATGGTAATAAATTCCAAGCTAATCATTTATTGAAGCACTCTCTCCCTCTCTCTCTCTGCTGCAGGAGAGAAACGAGAGATTATTTTTCCGTCTGCTAAGTGAGAACATTGAGCAAATGATGCCGATTGTTTATACGCCTACCGTGGGATTAGCCTGTCAGAAGTTCGGCGTCATTTATCGCAGACCCCGTGGATTATTTATTACAATATACGATAAGGGCCACATTTACGAGATACTGAACAATTGGTACGTCTTTTCACAAATTTAAACGTATTATCTTAATGAAACATACAATAAATCGATCAAAATTTCGCGTGTACATACGGAGAAGATCGTAGCACACTTTTTGTACGTTGTTCGCGTAATTGAATGTTGGTAATATTACACTTTATCGTTCTAAGGCGAACTTGAATTTTTATGGTGTAGTTACGTCTACACAAAAAGTGGGGGACACATTTATTGATAGTTCTATTACCAACTCAATCCCGAGCATTCCCGTTTTATATATTCAGCTGTTTTGAACATACTCAGAACAGGCATGTACGAATGCTGTATAAAGATTTTACGAGCGAAACTCGTCGTATTTCATTCTTCATTTTAATATACGCTTGACACGTTTACCGTCCCGGCACACATTTTTGATTTACAGAACATTAAAATGGAAAGATTTTGAGAAGTCCACTTTTGCCGATCTCGATTATTATTCGTCATCTTACTTCCTACCTCGCGTTTTTATTTGCTAAATCAGTTTTTTTTAAATAAATATTCAATGCTGATCGTAACTGATAATTAGCAGTATCCGTTGAATCACACGGATTACACATGAAAATGATAAAAGTCTTATGAAACGGCTGTTAAATGTACTTTAATTGCGATTCGCTTGAGTTGTATTCTTCCCCGAGTCTCTAGATGATTTTAAACGTCAGCGAATTCTCTCGGAAGGAGTTCCATAAAAGCTCAATATCATAATGCAGGCCTGAACAAGCGGTTCGTGCTATTTGCGTAACGGATGGAGAAAGGATCCTTGGACTCGGTGATCTGGGTGCTTGCGGTATGGGAATTCCCGTAGGAAAATTGGCTCTCTACACAGCTCTAGCTGGAATCAAGCCGCATCAGTGTCTGCCAATTACCATCGACGTCGGCACTAACAACGAGCAACTCCGAAACGATCCCCATTACATCGGTCTGAACAAACCGAGAAGTCAGGGCGGGGAGTACGACGAATTGATCGATGAGTTTATGGCTGCATGCGTGAAGAAATACGGTCAGAACGTTCTGATCCAAGTACGTTTCACGGGAAACCTATTTAATCCTTCGATTCCCGTTACGTCGTCTCGTAGCCTGTTCATGTCCGTTCGTTGTTGCAGTTCGAAGATTTTGGCAACCACAACGCCTTCCGCTTCCTAGACAAGTACCGCGACAAATATTGCACGTTTAACGACGACATACAAGGCACTGCCGCGGTTGCAGTCGCCGGGATTTTAGCCTCGAAGAGAATCACGAAGAAAAACATGTCCGACAATAGGTTCGTCTTTCTAGGCGCCGGCGAGGTACGTAAGACTCTGACAGGTTCCAAAGCAACTTTCATTTTTGCGAATTTACGAGGATCGAACTTCTCTTGCGCCGGGATAACGGGTTAGCTGCCTAGAAGATGGACTTAGGCCAAAATGATAAACAACGAGGAACACGAACCACAATTTCAACCATGAATATCCGGCTTGCGGTCTCCGACTCTGCGTTATTTAGCTCGCAATAATGCTAGTGAAATATTTTCGAATACCTGTGCATTAACGTCTGTTTAATATTCTCTGCCTACTTTATGTCATAATTTAATCGATTGTCAGAGATTTGTCAAAGTGTGTCGGACAACACTGTTTCAGTTTTTGTTTGCCAGTAGATCTCCGATGCTTTAGAATACGAAGATTTCGGGTGTTTTCAAAGTACGAGTAAACCGAGTGCGAGATGAAACTGTTTCTCAATTTGAGTTTGTTGATCGCGCAGGCTGCTATCGGAATAGCCGATCTCTGCGTGAAAGCGATGGAAGCAGACGGATGCACGGAACAGCAGGCTCGCGATAACATTTGGATGATGGACATTGATGGCTTGCTCGTTAAAGACCGACCGGAAGGGAACCTTGAAGGTCACAAGGTCTGGTACGCGAAGAATCACAAGGTGATGAAGACGCTGATCGACGTCGTGAAAGAGGTGAAACCGACCGTACTCATAGGTGCGTAGCTCTTTGTTTGCCAACATGCATTAATTTCTGTCTAAAGTTGAAATGATCATGCAGGCGCGTCTGCAGCGGCGGGAGCGTTCACTCCTGAGGTGCTGAAGGAGATGGCCAAGAACAATGAGAGACCGTTGATCTTTGCGCTGAGCAATCCGACCAGCAAAGCAGAGTGCACTGCCCAACAAGCATATGAACACACGGATGTACGATAATTATATTTAAACGTTTCCTATAAGTTTCAGCGTCAGACACATTTCGCGTTCACCGTTACAGTGATAACTAGACGGCGGATCTTTATGTATTATAAAATAAAACTTGTCGAAGTTAATGGCAAGGAACGCAAGTCAGATGAAAATGTCTTCCCTTTTTCAATAATTTTATTAAGTTGCGCATAACATGAGGATGTTCAAAAACTCTTCCAATTTCTTTTTAGCCGTTTTTGTCGAAAATACATAAAATCCGCAGTCTAGTGATTTCATTTATAATTCAACAAATTCGTGGTTAGTTAAGAGAAAATTATCGGGCTTCTTTTGCGTACAGCTCGATCATTAAAAAGCCTATTAATAGGCCTCTGGTAAGTAGAGTGTTAAAATTGTAATGGGAGGTAGTAAAGTGGTATCAAAATAACGATCCATAATTTTTACAACCAACTGCCAAAGAACAAAGCCATCTTTGTTATAATTGTTGGCATTACACGCGTTTTGAGTGAACAACGTGGAAAATAATTCTTGAGAAATTCGTCAGGAATGTTATTAATAAAACTGTTCACGTTTCAGGGAAGATGCATATTTTCCTCGGGCTCTCCATTCGGAGAGGTGAAGTACAAAGGGAAAATTTACAAACCCGGACAAGGAAACAATGCGTACATATTCCCTGGAATCGCATTGGGCGTTATTGGAACCGGAGTGCATCACATCACTGAAGATTTGTTCCTCATTTCAGCTCAAGCGGTGGCTGATCACGTGAAGGACGAAGATCTTGCGATGGGTAGTCTGTACCCACCGTTGGGCACTATTCGCGAATGTTCGATAGACATTGCCGTTAGAATTGCCGACTATGCTTACGCGAAAAGTAAGAACTTTCGACTAACAGTATATTTTAATTTCCATTTGCGATTGAATTTTAATTAACAAGCTTTTGCACCGTTGTCATTTCGATGAACGGGCAACATGAGTGATCTTTATGGGAGTTTCTCTTGTTTAGAATTCATTGTAGCCGGTGTTTCATTTTTCAGCTGGATTGGCGAGCGAGTATCCGGAACCTAAAGACAAACGACAGTTCATTGTGAGTAAAATGTATGATGCCAATTATGACAGTCCACTGCCAAACCTATACGACTGGCCGGGTGACTATGCTAAACCCCGTGTCTTACCAGAGCAGTGAGTATTTTGATAAGTTTTGTACAGGAAACTATAGGTTAACGTCGTGTAGAGAATTTCCGACACCATAATGTTAATGCACTATAGGTGGCGAAAGCCGTATCTAGTCAAATTATGCAAAACCTTTAGAAATGCCATGCAGCACATAAATAGCAAATAGCAACTGCAATTAAAGTTTAGAAATACAATTGCACCTGAAAAAAGCAGCGTATCCCAGAGCAAACGAAATCACAGTAATACCATGAACAGAATCGCAGTTCGAGTTTCTCGAACATTCAAGCACAGCATGAACACCGCTTATTAATTCTACTATCGCATTTTTCTCACGGTCATTGTTACGGAAACTTTTTATATTGCTTACAGGTTTCAGAACTGCGAACATTTGATTGTTTTTCAAAACTGATTTTTTCGTTGCTGCCACGCAATAACCACGAACGCTTTACTTTGCTTGAGTAGTAACTAATATTCTTTCCTACGGAGAAGAAACCTAAAACTGTAGACGTTACATGAAAAACATTCTTATCAAAGTTAAAGTAATTTATTTTTATTGAAATAGATTTTAGAAAGAGAATGATTAGATAAGATAAATTTATATCAATCTTTTTTTTTCTCTCCGTAAATTGACCTCCTTGTAACAAAGGCTTAGGATTCTAGAACACATAGCAATTATTTCTTAGCGACGGCATTTCTTTATCGTCAGTTCGTTGCTAGCCAGTGACTGACTTCGGTGCAGGCCGCTGAAGCTTAATTAATTTTTTTCAGAGAGACTGTAGAAATCCGCCACGATTTAAAACATCTGTAGCGGGTTTCGCCGAGCGGGATATTCGGAGGCTATCATTATTACCATTAATCTCTAAAAAAAAAAGAAACATACAAAAAAAAATTATCGCTGTGTCCTGAATTGAAAATGTAAAACAGGTCGTGGCAGATACAGGCAACAGTGCAGTTTAAAACAGTTTTAGCTGTAAGAAACTGTTACTTCTGTCAGTGACTAATTTGTCAGTGCTTCTTACACTATATAACTTTGCACGAGGTGTTAAAAAAGCACGGCAGAAATATGAAATGATGACTAATAGTGCTATTATTACAGCATCGAATGTCGCAGTAAGCTAACATTGCAGTATTTTAATGTCCTCCTTCATCCTATACGCAGTATTACGATTTTACTAGTTCATTCTCCCACCCCACCTCCCTGCCCCCTGAGCCGTGATAAGTATTAACTATTGAAAGTATTTAAAAGAAAGTTTATAGAATTGTTGTATACCGTAGCAATTATGTTGTATTATGATTTTACACAATAATACCAATTATTTAACGAAACAGGTGTTTGTACAGTGACAGTTTCGATCGAGAAATCGATAACAAATAAAATTTTAATTGGAAATCTTGCGAACGCAAAGGTACACGATGTATATTTTATACATGTATATCTGTGAATGTACATTTCCTCTTTGCCCGGTTGGCTTTACATATCCAGTGACAGATTCTCTCCTGAAACACGATTTTGTAGAATCGTCCTTCTGATATTTAAGAAACTCCCTCGTTCGTTGTTTCAGCCACCAAGACTTTTCCTTTGCAAATGACAACAACCGATCCTCCTTATGCACTTTCAATGTCCATTGCGGTTGTCCCCGGAACGAACCAATCAAAAGCTACCGATTCCTCCCCCAAAAGGACCAGAAAACTTCCAAAGTATAATCCTTCTAACATGCTTTGATTCGCAACGTTTTAGATACTTGTACGCAGTGCTTTACTAACTCTACACATACGTACTTTGTTTAAGACTAACAATATACATACGTATATCGTTCTAAGTTCAAACGATTCGCAGAGATGTAAGTTGCAAACGCGGGCTGCAAGTGCAAATTCTTATCGTCGTCTTTGCAATTGGCTTCCATTTTTGGGCGACACCATTTCCCAAGTATCTTCTTCAACCATCGTACACCGACTGTCCCGGGATTCACGATGCAAAACTGGAAATACTTTATGCTTCGTTCTTCAACGCTTTTACTGTTATATGTTCGACAACGAATTTTCATATGCATACTATAGCAGAGTTTTCGAAATGAATATGCACGAAGTGTGTTAAAGTGTAAATGATTTTTTGAAAAGTTTTAAGAAACGTGAAGAAACGAAATCAAAAAGTACACTGGATTAAAGGAGACACCAACATGGCTGGAAGCCATTTCGAATACTTTTTAATCTGTAATTGTAAATGCTTAAAATTGTATCGCTCTGAAATGACAATTGTTCGGATTCATTTTTGTCCGATTGCATCGTGAATCGTGGAACACCTTGTACTCTACGGGTAAACCAGTGTAGCTTTAACGACAGTGCGCTCGAAAGCACAAGAGTATCGTATACAATGTGTACAAAATGTTTTATATTTCGTATATGATGTCGAGGAATCATTAAAATATTTCACGCTCGTAAATGTGTTGACGCAATTGCATAGATACATATTATACTTGTTCCTGAGTCGTTCTCGGTCTTCGCAACTTCCGAATGACCGAGTGGCATCGTCAAGCAATTCAATACGAGTAGATTAACGTACGGGGTGAGTTGCCTGAAATCGAAATCTAAAATATCTCGGTTATTCCCAGTGACGCGAGAACATTTCCAAGCGAGGCTTATAAATATTTTTATTATTATGTTATATTATTAAATTATATTATATTATATTATTAAATTATATTATATTATATTATTAAATATTATTATATTTATTTCGAGGGACCAAAGGATTTCGTCGTGAACATATTTTCTGATCAATTTAATCCGCGAGATACCATATCATTTTTAACGCATTATCGGCGCAATTTACCGTTCTTTTTGCAAAGGAATTATCGCAGTATCATCCCCTTGAAGATAGTGTTCTTCCCTTGGATATCTGCTCCTGTCATGAACAACAAAAGAGATATTTTCGGTTCTAATCTTAAGTGGCTCATCGTGAACGCAACTTATTTTTCTCGAAAAAATAAGAATATCTATTTTTCGTAGAACTGTGCCGTAAGCACTCCCCTTGGCTGTTAATTAATATTTCAACGTAGAATAATCGATGGTGGACTGTTATCAGAGGTCTCGCATGTTGTACAAGACGTAATCGATTTCTTAGACATGTGGTCATGTGGTATACGTGCGTGAACTGTGCTTGCGTGTGTGTATTCGTATCGTAATTAATCGCTGATTAGAAAAAGAAAGAAGAAAGCCGCCGGCTATTTGGCGAGTGTATAACGCGTCGTGAGAACGTTTTGCTGCTACAACAATTTGATTGTTTACTTTGAATTTCGCGTAGTGCTGAATGTGATAGCCCGCGTTTAGCCAAGCGAAACGGGCTTGTCCGTTTTCATTCCTCGACACGAGGGATTTAATTGACAACGACGCGCCTCGCGTCTCCAACCCCTATCTCGCGCATTGTGCGAATGACAAGTACACTTCGCTTGGTTAAACGAAAACTATTGGAAATAGCGTTATGTCATTACTAATCGTGTTCTTCTCCCAACAGATTATGACGTGTTGGCGAGTTTAATGACAAGATGACTACTATAACGTGTGCACACACGTTTTAAGATATGTATTGCGGAATTTCGATAAGTATGTCTTGTAACGTGGACACGCCGGTAACTCTTCAGTAGATTATTAGAACGTCCTGGCGAACGTGTCGAGGAAATTGACGTCGCCGACGGAGGCTCGTCGCCTGTCGATATACTTATTTATTGTTAATTTAATGTCGTGACTACACGTTGGAATGGCGTACAGGTTTACCAATGCTTGGAGACTATTCATTGATTTCGACGCGGATTTCGCTTCGCCTAGAACCACTTATTTATTTACACACCGTATTATATCGCGTGCCATGCTCCGCGATTAATCCTTGAAGCGAAGGATACCGCGACGACCGGGTCCTTTCTTTTGAGATTTCTTCGTAAATCGATGAATAGTTGCTTTACAAGTGGTGTTCACGGATTGCCCCAAGGGAATCCCCTAAAAAATCTTTCCCGCCTGGAGTCTCGTTTTCGAGACAAATCAAGTTTGAAGTTCGTCGCGCGTGCAAATTAATGAAAGTTTCCAAATCGGATGTTTTCCATCGAAATCCAATTTGCTGTCAAATTAAATCCGGAATACAGGAAGCGCATCGAACTCGATCAATAAATTTGGTTCGCTCGTCTCGTTTATTTACTACACACAAAGGTTCGCNATTAAATTATATTATATTATATTATTAAATTATATTATATTATATTATTAAATTATATTATATTATATTATTAAATATTATTATATTTATTTCGAGGGACCAAAGGATTTCGTCGTGAACATATTTTCTGATCAATTTAATCCGCGAGATACCATATCATTTTTAACGCATTATCGGCGCAATTTACCGTTCTTTTTGCAAAGGAATTATCGCAGTATCATCCCCTTGAAGATAGTGTTCTTCCCTTGGATATCTGCTCCTGTCATGAACAACAAAAGAGATATTTTCGGTTCTAATCTTAAGTGGCTCATCGTGAACGCAACTTATTTTTCTCGAAAAAATAAGAATATCTATTTTTCGTAGAACTGTGCCGTAAGCACTCCCCTTGGCTGTTAATTAATATTTCAACGTAGAATAATCGATGGTGGACTGTTATCAGAGGTCTCGCATGTTGTACAAGACGTAATCGATTTCTTAGACATGTGGTCATGTGGTATACGTGCGTGAACTGTGCTTGCGTGTGTGTATTCGTATCGTAATTAATCGCTGATTAGAAAAAGAAAGAAGAAAGCCGCCGGCTATTTGGCGAGTGTATAACGCGTCGTGAGAACGTTTTGCTGCTACAACAATTTGATTGTTTACTTTGAATTTCGCGTAGTGCTGAATGTGATAGCCCGCGTTTAGCCAAGCGAAACGGGCTTGTCCGTTTTCATTCCTCGACACGAGGGATTTAATTGACAACGACGCGCCTCGCGTCTCCAACCCCTATCTCGCGCATTGTGCGAATGACAAGTACACTTCGCTTGGTTAAACGAAAACTATTGGAAATAGCGTTATGTCATTACTAATCGTGTTCTTCTCCCAACAGATTATGACGTGTTGGCGAGTTTAATGACAAGATGACTACTATAACGTGTGCACACACGTTTTAAGATATGTATTGCGGAATTTCGATAAGTATGTCTTGTAACGTGGACACGCCGGTAACTCTTCAGTAGATTATTAGAACGTCCTGGCGAACGTGTCGAGGAAATTGACGTCGCCGACGGAGGCTCGTCGCCTGTCGATATACTTATTTATTGTTAATTTAATGTCGTGACTACACGTTGGAATGGCGTACAGGTTTACCAATGCTTGGAGACTATTCATTGATTTCGACGCGGATTTCGCTTCGCCTAGAACCACTTATTTATTTACACACCGTATTATATCGCGTGCCATGCTCCGCGATTAATCCTTGAAGCGAAGGATACCGCGACGACCGGGTCCTTTCTTTTGAGATTTCTTCGTAAATCGATGAATAGTTGCTTTACAAGTGGTGTTCACGGATTGCCCCAAGGGAATCCCCTAAAAAATCTTTCCCGCCTGGAGTCTCGTTTTCGAGACAAATCAAGTTTGAAGTTCGTCGCGCGTGCAAATTAATGAAAGTTTCCAAATCGGATGTTTTCCATCGAAATCCAATTTGCTGTCAAATTAAATCCGGAATACAGGAAGCGCATCGAACTCGATCAATAAATTTGGTTCGCTCGTCTCGTTTATTTACTACACACAAAGGTTCGCACATGAACAATCTATCCGTGAACAGCACCGACTTGGTGATTGTGCCTCAGCGACGTATAAAAAGTAATTTATTGTATTCTGTACTGTGCTATTGTATCGTCAAGTAACGTTTAGTATAGTGTACGTATCAAGTAATCGTGCCGAGCAGAATCGATGGTTCAGATTGACTCTTCTGTTCCACTGGATGTATTTACATAAGGTTGCGGAAATAGTTTCACTGTCTCTTCGACTTGATTAACAAACGTGTTTTCTTAAAGATTCGAATCAGGACAGCCAGAGCAACGTTTTGGAAGTTGTATTTTTTCTACTATATAATTCTAATTGCCGGACTTACTTTCTAAGCATGTAAACGTACGGAAAGCGGAGGTTTTTTTAGCCGGAAGGTTCCTATGTGTTGTGCGAGATAGAAACTTCGATCAGCAACATCGATTAGATTGTAATTACTGCCACGTCACGGAATATATGGAATTTACGGAGGGTGTACGAGCGAGAGTAAGAAATATATGGAAAACGAAATTATTTACACACGGGTCTCGTTTCTCAGAATTTGTTACTGGACGTATTAATTATACTCTTAAGGCTATGAATAAATGTTAAGTCATGATCGTTAGCGCGTCTGTTTATTTCCTTGTACTGCATTTATTTATTCGCTTATTTACTAAATGATCTTTTGTGAAGAGGCTACAGTGAAGCGCGTGCAGGAATTGTAATATTGCCTTTATTAAACAAAACTTTATGAAAGTGATTCTCAGCTATATACACAATTACAAAAATTATTTTCGTCATTAAATATTTTCATCCCTTTCGTACTTGCGTGTGTAAAATATATCCGCGCAACAGATATCAACATCATTGTCGGCCACAGTATAAAATGCAAATAGCACCAAGGAATTACGATTCATTCATTTTGTAGTGGCACATTCGCTTCGTATTCATCAATCTGCATTTCTAGTGTTAGTACTTCAATCAACCTTCAAGTACTAATTCCGTATTCAGGTGTCAAGATTATCCTTTATCTAAGAGCACAGAATATATTGTGCATGGAAGAGATGCATTATGGATGTGGATATAGTGCTTTTACAGGGCCAGATTTAATCGATTAACTTTATTCTGGCTCGATGTGCCAGTGTACAAAAAGTATATCAAATTTGCTCCTAATTTGCTTTACATTCCGTTTTATAAGCATAATCTCTTCCACGAACAATCTGTTGGTTCATAATCAGGATCATCTTCGTCGTCGTCTTCGTCGTCTTTCCATTCCAGATCATCCAGGTTTTGAAAGAGACTCTCATCGACCTTAACTGCATCACCTAAAAATTTCCATTCCATACATTCTGCACCATTTCAGCTTGGTTTATACTAAATAAATTAATTATTTTTAGAATGATACCATCGTCAAGAAATTTGAGATCAGATTGATCCAGTGTTTTATCAGTCATAAATAATTCTTTGCCGGTCAGCTTCTTTCCTTCGCGTTCAGCTATTTCTCTTCGTTTAGTGTATCCCATTTCTAGGTCAAACTTTTCTTTCCAGCTTAAAAATGTTTCTACAGTGACCCTAGTTCCCTCGAACTTTTTCTGTGAAAGAAATGGTACATTATTGTCATATTTACATTTGGAATGTTACATGAAACATACCCTTTCAGCTTCTTCTTCCTCCTTGAGTTTCTGCGCTGCAGATTCCTCTCTCTTCAATTTAATTTTATCCCATTGACAATTCAGCCATTCCTGAGCAGCACTAACTAACGTGAATACCATAACCATTCCCAAGTTTTCGTTCATTTGCTCTATCAAATGGTCCTTTAACAGTTTATCGCTACCATGTTCAAAATTCTCCTGTTCTTCTATGGAGACAAGAAGTGGCTCATCAGGATAATTTGAGGTATATGTGAATTCTAAACGACAGCTAAGACCATTTGCAGTTTCTGGCTCATACTCTTCTGTCTTAATAGGTATAGCAAATGTGTAAAATGGTTCCACAGCTAAAACTATAAAAGAATTTTTCATTATGAAATGAAACTAAAATAGCTAATTGAAGATAAAGTAGTTGAAATATAATAGATACAACTTTAGAAGTTATTAAATAAATAATTTGGACAAAGTAGCCAATACAATAGTAGTATTTCTATACTTCAAAAACAAATTTATAGGTTATATTACAATACTTACTTTCTAATTCTCCACAGTAGATCGATTCCAAAGCTTCGATCTCATTATGTTGTTCTTCTTCGTAGTCCATGATTTTTAAAATTAAATGATCTAGTTAACAAATTATTAGATTACGTATTTAATTGATAACTTTGAACAAATTCACGAAACCATGATATAATCGTGACAGCACCGGTGAGCAGCGCTGCACCACGAACGTCGTGAACTTGTTCAACTCATATCTACGGACATGCTGATTGAGCAATAGAAATTTTGGAGTTTTTATAACACAGTATATAGTGATTGTATAAATTTTGGATCGTAAATGAACTTTTCAAATATTAAAACTTTAATAAATCATTCAATATAGAAGTATACGCTATATTATAAATTATAATAAGACAAATTGTCGTTGCAGATTTTTTTAAATATTTAAAGATTTAATTCTGCAGTACCATCTCGTTTAATAAAAATATAAATAAAAATATGAAAATTTTTTGTTTCCTATTGCGAACGTTTTAACAATTCCATAAATTATGTTATATACACGTTACGATATATTACACAAATTATTTATGAAAATACTTTAAAATATTGAATATTTTATTATTAGGTATTTTACACATATTTCAAAACTTTACTTCTCCAAAAATTACTTCCATCACAATCGAGTTCAAGTGTACTGAAAATATGCTAACGATTCTATTCTTGCTTAAAGTCAAACAACAATAATCAGACCCGCACTATAAATTGTTAGTATTTAGTAAACATTGATTTCAGAATAGAGCTGCACGTTCGCATTCAATTCTGCGAAATGGTACATACAGAAAAATTCAAAACGAAACGTTCAAAGATCTAATTATAAGTAGATACGTTGATCGCAATCAATTTTCCATTTTATCGCTAAAAAGAGCCCAGGAATAATTAAAATATTACATCTTCTTTTGTAGAAAAATCTACTACTCCGTTATTAACAAGTAATTTTCTCTTTCCGATAGTTAAACCGCTTAACTCATTGATTTTCAACTTACAAATAATTTTTTTTATTTTTTAAGCAATTTCTTGCTTCGTATAAGTTGGGTATAGTGAAATTACGTACTCGAAATATTTAATTTGACAAAAAATGAATGAATTTTAGTTCGTTAAACTAGATTTATACACATTTTCGTAATTTTGTACCTAAAAAAGAAAAACTAAAAATTTCTTTAATTATAATGTATTTTTAGCCTTTATTCTTTCTGTAAGCTCGTTTAAACTGTTTAGTCAGCCCAAGGCAAATGTCAGGACTAGGTTTAATAACCGCTGTATTCTATAATAATACTACAAAGCATATTAAGAACGGAATGTTTCTGACACCACTGATCTCGGCTTCGTAAAAAATAATGTTGAAATAATTCTTTAATTTTAAAAGATTGAAATTATTATTTTGCTGAGTATTATTGCATTACAAATATTAATTTAGATATTATCATTTTACGTAGCGATAACAAGATTTGTTACGATTTTTATTATAGATTATTTTATGAGCAATATTTTCACCGACTAATTAATTGTTATCGTCAAAGTCTTCGAAATCCGCCCCCCTGAAAAGTAATTATGAAAAGTTAGATTCCCAGTGGGAGCTGCTCACTTTTCCGTGATCTTATTTCAATCTCGTGAAGAACTCTTCAAGAGTATTTTAAAAAAAAACTTAACCAGAATTAGCAAAAATAGATCGCTCCAAGTTGCTAATACAGCTTCAACGTTTTCTATTTTACAAATATAATAACGATACACGAGCGTCATGCTATATAGTTGGATAAATTCTATAATTGGATAATTCTATCAAACGCGACCAGAATTAAATTTAATTCTACAATATAATCTTGTTCGCAGTTTTTAATTTTTAATGTGGCCACATCGAAATCTTGTCATTTGCTGAATTTGCTTCAATTTTAATTCGTCTATCAAATAATAATTTCCGTCATATTTCATTTCGACAAATGTTATCTCTGACATTTCCAGAACATTTATTAAACTTCTACATTAAACATTATGCTTTTATTAAACTCATCATTTATACTGACGTTGGAACGTGGTCTTCTTCTAACGATTTTATTCCATTTGCAAATTGAAACAAATTAATAGAAATATAATTTGATGTATAAATACATATACGGAGTTGTATAAAATAGGATTTCTAAATTGATCAAACATTTAAGTCAATATTCATCGAAATCAATTAGAATAGACGTGTGAATTATTTCTTCCAACCACCTTTTTGCTCCAAATAGAAATTCAATGTTCCTGCATACAGTACCGACAACTCCCATGAAACTGTAGTTACAAACAAACAAGTTTTCGCTATAAAAACCGCAAATCTTCATCTCGACTAAATAAAATAACAAAATAACTACCAAACATACAACATCAATAAAAAAAAGTATCTAGAATCGCCTTTGGGCCCAAAACACCGCTCCGCGACGAGTCAACATAAACATAATTTGCTGTACAAATACATCAACAAGTCAATATTCATCGAAATTAGAGTACACGTGCTAACTATCTCTCTCTCTCGATCACATTTCTACTCCAAACGCGTTGCTGCGTTTTCCCAACAACTTCCATAAAAGTGAAGTTATCAAGAAACAACTTTTCGGCACGAAGACGGACAAATCTCCGTCCTGACCGAGCGAAACAAGAAAACACCTGTCAAATAATCGAGATTCGCTAAAAACAAAATATCTGTCGAGCTCATCGGACCCAAAACATGCCCCCGGGCAGCCGTGAGACCGTGTCGGGCCCCGTTCGTGGCCCGTGCAACGTCTCGCGTGCGGCATCGATTCCGAAGTTCTGAAAAGGAGCCGTAATCCCGGAAGGTTTTGTCAGCGAGTTTCCAGAAAATCGTGCTGGTAGCGCGCAAAAGCTTGCAGCGGATTTAACACTGCCGGATACCGTTAGGTGGCTAGGAAAGCAGGCAAGCGCGGAACGCAATCAATACGCTGACAGAACGCGACGGTGCCTCGTGCGTGGCAGCTCCGGCCGAGCTTTCAGACGGACGCACGGTCGCGACGGAAGCTCACGAAGCTCGGTCCGCCTGGTTGTTCACGCGTGTCCTCCCGCGTTCCGTGTCATCGGCGAGGCTTGCGGGGATGGCGGCGATATAGAGGCTGGCGACAAAATGGCGACCGCGATACCAAACAAATGACAAAGGCGTGAAAAGCTCCGCTGGACGAGACTGGACGTCGCTGCCGGGACACGTCCGCCGGAAAATCCGGGGTGCTCTCGGTTTCGCGTGCGACAGCCGCGCGGAGGAGGTGTCGGACGGGCCCGCGCCTCTGACATTGGGTCATCCCTGACCGTTCACGGGTGACCGCCAGCAGAGAAGGTGCACAGGGACCCGCGGACAGAAGCCGAGGGGGGGTTAGACCGAGCAGGAAGTTAGGATGATCGGGGCTGCCGCGGTCGTGTGCCTGGCCAGGATCGCCTGAGGGATTTTCGGCTGGGCCGCGATCATCGACCGGGGATCTTCGGAGCCCGGATTACCGATAGGCTAGACTGATGGTATCGGCGGGTCGCGCGCGGTGCTCCTTCCCAGCCGAGTGAGGATCGCGACTGTCAGTGCCGGTTGCCTCGATGGCTTGACGAACATCCCGACGGCCGCCAGTTACGCAATCATGTTTTTGTATTTCGAGAAGAACAACAATGCCAAGTGCGACTGCAACATCCTGTCGCTCAGCTGGATGGGCAAGGTGCCGGACGAGTCGCCGGAGGTAGGTGAACATTTTACAAGGCTAACCGATCGCCGCGAGCCGCGCGTAAATCCGTAGAGGTAGCACCCGACGATCGCGAGCCGTGTGTGCGCTCCTCGGCGGCGAAAGTCGGCTCGATCGATCGTAAAGATTACGCTTTTATGCCGGCCACCGCATGCGGCGATATCGGAACGCTGCACAGTCGAAAATGTCAAGCGTACGTGCGGAAACATCGCGGACCAATAATATACCGCACGACAACGCTCGGTGCGCTCGCAGCACCTGACACACGAACGTTAAGTGACGTAAACGCCGACGCGTTTATAGATTCGCCGTGTATTTCTTTCTTTCTTTCTTTCTTTCGCTCGTCTTTTCTTTCTTCCTTTTCGCGGCGAGTTTTTCCTCCAGCGAATTTTTAGATCGCCGTCTCGCCAGCCGCCGCGCCGGTTATTTCCGAGACGCGGACGATAAATACGATCGGGAGGCTGCCGCTTGAAAAGCGCGTCGGGACGCGCAGAGAGACCGTAGACAATAGCTCGCGGCGAGATAATGAAATTTATATGGGTACGCGGTTCGGTCACTCTATGCGCTCAGACTCGTTCTGTTCGCCGAGAAGCGGCCCCGAAGAATCGGAACGCTTGTTTGTGCCTTTCTGTTAGCGTGTACTAAGTGCCGCATCGACGGCTAGGATTATCAGCGGCCGCGCTGAAAAGTTTGGCAGGTATTATGGACGCGAGATTGTGTACGATGATGGAATCAAAATAGATGCGATTCTACGGGACTTCGCGAGTTGTTCGGGAAACTTAATCTTGGAAAAGTTGATCACGAAGTTCCCCGGCACGAAGACTTCGATGTAAATAGTTCAGTAACGTTGCTCTTAATATTAACACGTTCGGCTCCGCCGCGGCCCATTCGCTCGCCTGTAAACTTTCCGCAGGGACCGCGGCGGGCCGATTTTATAAAATTTTGAACGGGGGGGAAGTCGGAAAAATGACCCTCCTTATGGCTCATTTCGCGGGCGGTCTCTTAAGCAGCTCGACGCGGTGAATTTTCTTTTTCCTTTTTCTTCGGGAAAACTGTAATTTTTTTTATGAACTTGAGTGGTGCTTGATTTCTTTCTGTACGCGCTGTCTGATGTACTCAGGCGAAACGTAATTTGTGGCTCTTGAATGGGAGAAGCGTTATCTTAGGATCGCTTATGCAACTGTTTAGAGAACCGTGCGAGAATTCATCGTTTCCTACCTCGATTGCAACGAACAGGAGGTAATTCTCTTCTTGTGATATTTATGAAGAAAATCGATCTCGATCTTTGTATGATTTTATAACACGAGTGTAACGTAAATAATATAGTCTGTATGACATTTATGTAATACAAAAATAATGTATGGTCAGAAAGGTGTTATAGATCATTCTTCTGCTGTACTTCTTCGTTTTAGTCAACACTGAAAGGGTTAAATATACATTTATTACCGTTTCTAAGAGTTTTAACACGTTGAGAGTAACATTAGAATATTTTCAAATTCTTCATTGTAGACTTCAGCGTCTTCCATAATAAATAAATTAAATATACGATAAGCAAATCAAATAAAAACCGCTGAATTAAACGATGAATATGTTTCTACATGTTGAGAATGATGTCACAATATTTGTAAATATTTCATCATGGACTTAATTCTTCAGTTTTTGTAATAAACGCGTAAAATCCTCGGTCCAAATATGATTGATCAAAAAAGATAGATTATGTATATATTTAGGAAACAATAATGGACGTTTACTAATAAGTATAATGGAAGGCGGGCGATTATTACGTGCAAATGCACCAAAAGGGGACAGCCTGGAAAGATTCCGAAGAAGATAGCGTAAGCGAAGTCGCATCAACGCGATGATGGCCGATAAACATCGGCCCAATGATGTCACACATACGCAATACGAGCTGTTAAAATGTTAATAGAACTCGGGCGCGAAGGAAATGTTTAAATGGCTGTTAAAGGAAATCGATGAAGCCGATAAACGTGGTGAAGGACTTTTAATGAATATTCGTTTTCCTTGAAATAAAAATTGCTCGTCGTTCAAACTGATTCTTCCGGCGTCGGCTGCGATTCGATTCGGAAGCTAATTAAACCGTATTAGTGCTTTGCTTACTTAACCGTTCAGGGTTTTCAGGAATAAGTGTCCCGTAGCTGTTGCTGCGGGCAAAAAAAGTACACTTGCGGATTTCGTAGCTTTTCCGCTTCTTCAAAAGGGACGCGCGAGGGGGTGATCATCTAGCCAGGATTATCAGAAAAACGTGGAGATCGCTTCAGACACTTTGAACTGTGGGGGAAGTTTTTTTGTTTGCAAGTTTTACAATGTTTCTCGAATGCGTTGTAGAGAACGAAAGATTTGCTAACAGGTTGGCGTATTTTAATCTTGACCGACAGCGTGTGTCCCGAATTTTAATTCAAGTTTTTAACGAGCTTTGGTAATGGCTCACTGAAAGCAGTAATTGTGTCATTACTAGTAATTCTATTTTATAGCATATTATGTTTGTCACGCAAATTTTGAAACTGTGCCGAAATTAATTTTCATTTTGAACGGGATAAAGCGGACATCGCATCTTGATAAAAAAGAAAAAAGAAAAAGGAGAATAGGAAGTAGGAAATGATCGTGTGACGATTTTGATTCCATGCAATTTTCGTTCGTAATGCTTTTTCATCTAGCCGATAATTTACGCGCAACTTGAGGTCGTCACGTCAGGCGACGCACTCTTTAATCAAATGATTCGCCGTGTCTGAAACGTTAATAACGTTCTCTAGGTCTGCCCGTACCGTTCATCTGCACTAATATCATCAATATACGTAGCCTAACCTTGACATCCAAAGCGAGCTCTAAGAAACGGAATATCAAGGTAAAGAGGTCGGAAGGTCGTCGTTTTAACGCATTTTCGTCGACCACTTTCCGCGGGGAGTTTGAGCCGCCGACTAGGAAACGGGAAACTGCAGTTCGGGTGCAGGCTCGTTTAGGGATTAATTATCGAAGTTGCGTGGTTTGATGGGTAGGCAAGTATCTCGCGGTCTACGATGATCAATTTTCCCATAAACGTAGACAAAATTGCGAAAACAGAGTTTCCAGTCCATCGAATTTAATTGAACCGAACCGTTCTGTTATCCGAACATACTCGTTTCTTTGAGTATACTGAATAATCGAGGTTCCATTGTATGTTGCAGTGATATTAAATATTGCAATCATTACACCTATACGATTGCAATAATTATAGACATCACTAAATTATTTATTTACTGCTATTTATTTACTACTGTAACATGCACCGATAAATATTGTTTTTTAAAACACGGAAGTGTGTTTGATCTGTCAAGATTGAATTTCTCAGTCGAAATTCTGCTAATGTTTCACGATAATTAAGCTTCTTAATTAATCGTAAATAATTTTGCGACTACGATTCAACAGTTTCACAATTTTCCGGTACAAGAATATTCTTCTTATTTCTTTCCTTATTTAAGAAAGTCAAATTTTTCATTCTTGTTATTTCACTATTACTGGATTTTTCATTACTATCTATTCTCGAAATTTTCACTATATTTTGATCCTACATATCATGTACTATGGTAAATATTTACTCCTGCGTATAGTACAATAACTTGGCATTACTTGGGAAAGGAATGTAGGTCTGCTATCATTTTAACACAGCAGTTAGCGCTATTGTTTACGTTACCACCTTCATTTTAAGTCAATCTACAAAAACAAAGTGTTTAGCCTGAACACGTGCCAACTATCACAAACCGGAAATTGATAAATGGGTGATACGGGAACCGTTCTACATTTTTCATAAACACGTTTATATTTATAAAACCCTTTAATATCCCGTAGAACTCTTGAGTTTACTGGGTCATCTCTGTCAAAGGATTGAGCATCATTGATTATTTAACTGTTATTCACAATATAAAAGCTGCGAAAACACAAAAATATGCTGTAAAAATACAATCGACTATCCCATCTTTTCTCCGCCATGAAGTTTGCACAAGAAACAACGAAAATCATTCGCAGATAAATTATTTCATGATACGGTGATCTGTCCGATGAATGAACGTTTAAGCAGCATGTTTGTTGAAGCGATTGTTATTTAATTCCTTGAACGATACTAAGTTATATAATTAAGTTGTATATAATTGTTATTATTATATATATTATTATATATCATTATTATATATAACTAAGTTTCATTACAAAGATCATACAATCTTGGTAAAAATTCTAGCATTTTTTTGAAAGTGTAACACAAGATCATTTTTTAGCAAAAAAGAAAGTATATTCAAGAAATTACAAATTTCAAACTAAGAAAACTTTTTTATTTTCTTATGTTTCTCTTTCTATGTCCCTTTTAATCTAACTCTTAGGACGCATCTGCATAACAAATAAAACTAACCCGCGATTTCGCACAGAAAAAACAAAAACTCCCCCGCGGTTAGGGGGTTAATCGTCGATTCTTTTTACAAAACTACATTCGCAAGATATCTGCGGATGTATAATAAAACTACTATATAAATTTCAATGTAAAATGGCTGCGATAGGCGTTACCTACCACCTTCACACAAATGTTTATCTCCTCTGGGTTAATCATCGTGCGACTCGCCGTATCCGCTGGAATCGTGCAAGAACTTTTGCACAGTTCTCACAAATTGATTCCACGGAGCTCCCGAGGTTGCTGGATCGGCAGTCAAAGAGTTAAGCAACATCGATTGTTCCCCGCGAAATGATGAGAATCGAGGAGCCGGGCGGCGTCGGGCTGCGCCGCGCCGCGCCGGAAGCCGCGCAATATTTCGAAATGAGGGTGGCCGTGGCGTGGGCTCGCGGGCTCGCGCGTCTTCTAAACAAAGCGGAGCGCACCGCGGCACAAAGCGGTTTTCCCTTTCCCGTGTCTTTATGAGCCTGGAAGAGGTGTTCGCGCGACTCCGCCGGGATTGCGGCGCATCGCGAGCCCAGTTAATAATACCGGGGAGAGTTTCGAGACCGCATCAAAGCGG